GGGCTAACGTGAAGCCAGTCAAAGAGGACTGCAGAGAACAGGAGAAAATGGAGACGAACTGTTGAACCACTTTGTTCCACTCGGAATCCAAGGGAATTATAATAACAAGGGGAAGGAGCTTTGACTGCTTTATCAAGAATTGATATCAGTTTAGAGGATCAGGCAAAAACTAAGGATCGCTGGTAGTTGTTTTATCCTAGCCAGAGACTCTTCAGATGGTCTCATAGTTGCTGTGGTCAATCCCTAGTAGAACAGCCTCAAACTAAGACGAAACAGCTGTCTGGAGCTCCTAAATTTTGATTGACATCATATTCGTAACAAAATATACATTGGAAACAATAGTTACAGAAAAACAACGAATGGGAGATCTGGATTAGAAATACTGGCAGAACATAAAGAAGAAACATAACATTGTGAAATTAATTTCAACACACTGGTCCTTTATGGAGATGCAGCTCCGTCGGCTTATGCGTTCGACCTATAGCCGTATATTTCAGCCTAAGTGACTAGATAGTAGCATCATCCTTCACACAATAAATGCAGCTTATAACCGGTAAATTAGAAGTATGTTGCGGGTACACGAATTTTAACACTGTTATGTAGCTGATGTCAATACATGAAGAAAGGGAGAGAAAGTATCTTATTCCTCAGAGAATGTAATCCAACATCCCCTATTAGGAGAGTCACTTCAGTCTCTGAAGGAAGACTTAGGATACAGTCATTTTGAGACCTGATAAACGACTTTGAGTTGTTGTTATTATTATGAACAAAATAAATTCAATAGATAAGATACGCCTATGGTATTAAATGACTCATCCAAGTTTATACCTGACAAATCAGAGAAAAGTGTGAATCTGATAACAGAGTAACACGCGTGGTTGACTGACATTGCAAACCCTAGTGATCTGAGATTCAGAAGGCACATTTACCCTTATCAATAGTTTGCCGTAAACGTATGGAGGAATGCTCACTTTAGATGAGTTACTGCCTCACCCTCAACCTGCTGTACTCTAGTGGTCACGGCTTCCAACTGGAACCCCAGGTAACTGCCTGAATAGGGCCAGTCGCTGGTAAGTATCAGATTAATTTTCAAGTATTGGTTTTATAGGATTTTGTTTGTTCGATTGGTTGAAGGATTTCATCATGAGCTGACATCAGTTAGAGAACTATCGGATCCCAGTGGTTGCCTTCTGTCCAGAAGGTCCTGGGTTCGAACCCTGTAGGTGGGTGCGTACTGTTAAAGAGTCCCAAACTAGAGCGAAACAGCTATCCAGTACTCCCAGGTGGTTTTCCAATGGTTCTCTAACTGATGACAGCTCATGATAAAATCCTGTATACCGATCAAACAAAATCCCTACAAAACCAATACTTAAGAATGTCCATCTCCCAACCTTTTGAGACCAACATTGTCAATGACCATTATTAATCAGCAGTTCATGGAATTCATTCTTTTCTGAGCCATCAAGAATATGAGCACACACTGTGTATCAGTACTTAAACTAAATGATGTGTTTGAACATGTTTACTAATATGCGTATATGAAGTGTCTAAATCTGTAGATTAATAGATGTCCTAATCTTATGTTCTATAGTATCGGCAGGAAAAAGGCATGACTGTTTCGTGAATAAAGAAAAATATAATCAAATTTAAGATGGTAGACGTATAACATTGAAGAATATCTCCAATAAAAGCCGATTACAATGAAGACTTCACTGAGAATAACAACCACAACAACTGAACCAACCAACGTTGAAATATGTCTGTGAAGCATATATAGTATTAGTAGTAGAACTCTTATCACATAATACGTATTTATTAATCCAGGAATAAGAGAAAAGTATTAACCAGTTCCCTAAAAAAGCTTACCTAATACCGTGTATATTACGAATTGCATAACTGATGTCTTTGCGTAATTCTTCTTCATCAGTTTCAATCTAGTTAAGAAAAAAATAATAATAAAATCGATATGAAAGAGAGGAAAGAAAAACAGCCAACTTATTATCAGAAGGGGGAAGATAACACATATATTATTATTCCCTTGTGTTCTGAGTGGAAAATAGAGCTTCAACAACACATCTCCTCTTCAGTTGGCTAGCCCCATGGTTACCTATAATCCCTCATCTCCTCCATGCCACCCCCACACTTACGACACACTCGTCGCTTCCCATTCGGATTCCACTCGAGTAATGGCCCCTGCAATGAGCGCGATGTCATTTGACGGCCTTTTCAATGTATGCCCCCGATTCACCTCCATTTTTTCCTACATATTTGTTGAACGATAGACTCTTGCTTGTTGGTTTGTTGCTAGACAGAGGTTCTTCTTGCTAATTCTTTTTGGCTATTTGATCTTAACAAGTATGCAGCCAATCAGCGCGAAGTGGGCATCTGGTGATAAAAGTTTGTAACTTGTTGGAAATCCTTTTTGTGACTAACACGTAGTGCAAGTTTCTGACCCGTATATAGAATAACTGACTGAGTGACCAACTTCACATTTGTGTTGAATAGAATCCGAATCTTCTTCCTTATATATGCTGGCTGAGTGCAAAAGACTAATTCCAAACTGGTTTCAAGTTCACAACGGTGTATCTTGCCTTTCCAATTCTGACTGATTTTGACATCTTCATCCGTTCCGACTGTCTGTAGTTGAGATGATGCTTCCCTAGCCAGATAAGTGAAGGAGGTAACCTCTGTTAAATCACTCCCATTGATGATGATGATAATACATATACTTGAACTGTATTCACTAATATTTCCAATTAAAAAATAAATATTCCTTTAGAAAAAAAAATAGATCGAAACTATCAAAGCTTGATAAAGTAAATCTGAAAAGTTAAGACCGAACTCAAACTGATTCGCTAGTGACGACTACCTCCAGGATGATGTTGACTGGAGTTCTGATGGGAAGTTGTGGCCAATGAAGTTCATCCAGTCGGGAGTGAAGATGGATTTTTCGCCGATGACATTGGTTGGCGGTCGCGTTGCAACCATGAATTGGTGGGAGTTGGATTCCAGTGACTGGCTGGCTGGATGATCCACGATATTGACTTGTACCTGTAAGGTCCTGGTTTCGACAACTGGCGATGGGTACGTACTGCCAATGGGTCCCAAAGTAGGATGAAACAGCTGTCCAATACTCCTTGCTGGTTTCCAATGTTTCTCTAACTGATACGACTACTCCATGATCAGAATTTTGAAATGTAATATCATTGTCTGATAAAATTAGAATATACGCATGAGAACCAGAACCTCGACTAGTTTAATTTTTTTCCTTTCTTTTTATTTCTTTACATATCAAGTGGAATACATATAGATTTAAGCTTGAGCTTTGGAAGTTTTAGTACCAATGGTGGTGTCTTTTCTACGTGAGAGGGTCGCCACAGCCTCACACACACACAACCTCTTTTTATCAGACTTAATACTAAATAAGTGAGATTTAGAAGTGCACCGACAGGAAGTCGAACTCCGGGCCAAATAAAAAGTGGTTGGTAATTATTCTACCACTCAGCAATTCGCATTATCCATCCAACAACAATCCATAAATGTTATTTCAAAACAACCAAAATAAAAATCAAAACAAAACCAATATTACTTTAGACCAGTTTTGAAGGGGAGAAATCGATGATGTATCAAACTCAATTGAACAGAAAGTAAGAGAAAGGTAGGGCAAAAAGCAAAAAAGAGAGAATGAGAGAGAGAGAGAGCGCGCGAGAGGGAGAATGAGTTGGGGGACAGAGTAGTTAAAAATATCTGCCTCTGTCTGTTTAGCTAGCTAACTCTAAAATTTTATAAATATTCATCACGTGCACAAATATGTCATCATACAACAGTAGAAACAGAATATATATATAATATTTTTATCTAGAAAATATAATATATGCTAATGAAAAACGAAAAATGAAATCGATCGAAGGAAAATGCGACAATGAATCTAGAGAAGGTGAGATAAGACATAAGCCTCAGTAAAAATATATGCATAAAACTATCTCTATTTGATGAATATAGATTTTACATGAGTTAGTGTATAGTGTAGTGCAGTGTAGTGTATTAAAGTGTAGTCCTGCTAGAGATTAACTGTCGATACACTTCTCTGACGTGTGTCAGTGGCACAGCGATAGAATGCAAGCCAACCGTGCAGGTGGTCCGGGATTCGATCCCCGGCCACTGGACGCACTCCTTTACCTGGCTAAGCCATAGTAATAAGACTGGTAGAGACGGAAGGTTGGGCATGGGGCTAGCAACCTTACCTAGTAAAAAAATAAAATAAAATAAGACACCACTACTACCGAAACTTCAAAGCTCTGCCTTAAAACCCTATGTTCCACTGGGCACGCAAAAGGAAAGTTCAGGATAAAAGTAGTCACAAGGTGTTTTTTGGCGCACAGTATGACAAACACCACAACAGATATTCCAGTTATGTGTAAAACGGTCGACCAGACACCTTTTTTGAAACAGCCAAATGTAACATCTGACATGATGATTACAACATTCCTCTCATAGCATATAATAATATTATTATCATCAGACATGACCAACTACCTAGAGAAATTCAAATCGTTATTGACCACCTCTGCTCTATCTAATCAAGCAGGAGGAAGTCTAAGAGGAGGTAAATTCGTCTTGACGATAACTTATATTTGTGCTCCTAGACACATACCCTTGATTCGGAGTGAGGAATGGGCCCAATGAAGCAGTTGGTTTATTGAAAGTCTACTTGGATGAGGCAGTGTTTAAATTCTCAGAGTTTCTGACCATTATAATATGACAGGGGCTTGATCAAGTGCTCATTCAATAGGATTTGACGTATTTGTGCAGCTGATGGATATTTAAAATTATAAAAAATATTTTTCTGACGTCCTGGTTTGAAACTTGGGTCAACCAAAAGCCTCTACAATCAAATTGTATATAATTTCTCTTGTTCCCATTGTTTCAATGAATTAAAATATTGTGGTGAGAGCAGGCTGCTAGCCGATTGGTTGGCACTAATCTACGTTAAGGTCTAGGTCACTAATGTGGGCCGTGAGAAGATATGAACAAGCCTGAGTCAACAACCAATCACAGCAAAGTTAACGTGGCAAAATATGATTCGCAGAGAGAACTCTATTTGTCAAGGAATCCCGAAACAACCAATCAGAAGCCTGCGTTTGTCTACCTAAACAACCAATCAGATGACTGCGCTTGTCTATAATAATGTAGTTGAAAGATGTATAAATACGTGTTGATTTTCATAATAAAACGATCTGTTGCCTGGCCCTTGTCTTCTGTTGTTACATTTGGTGTCGCTGCCTACCGACAAATGGAAAGCCTATGCCCTGCTGTTTTTGATGGAGACATATGGATCTTCGGGCAGGACTTCAAGGCTTCTGCGCAGTTGAGTGGCGTTCAAGATCTGTCAGCGATGGAGCTGCTACTTGGGACGCTGCTGGGAGGTCGGGTGAAAGCAGCATATGAAAGTGTGAGCCGAAGTATGGACGAATGTTCGACAGGGTCAGGCAAACAGTTTCCAAAGTGGGAAGGACCATATATGGTCACTTCGAGATGGGGTTACGCAGACACAGTCGCAATGGCGAACAATAAGAGGCGCGTGAACGTCAGTGAGCTCCAGAAATGGATACAGCGAGACAAGCCAACGATGACGCCTGCACCAAGTAGATCAAGCCGACTTCAGTCGCACGTATTTGACGGGGGGACGAGTGTGGTGAGAGCAGGCTGCTAGCCGATTGGTTGGCACTAATCTACGTTAAGGTCTAGGTCACTAATGTGGGCCGTGAGAAGATATGAACAAGCCTGAGTCAACAACCAATCACAGCAAAGTTAACGTGGCAAAATATGATTCGCAGAGAGAACTCTATTTGTCAAGGAATCCCGAAACAACCAATCAGAAGCCTGCGTTTGTCTACCTAAACAACCAATCAGATGACTGCGCTTGTCTATAATAATGTAGTTGAAAGATGTATAAATACGTGTTGATTTTCATAATAAAACGATCTGTTGCCTGGCCCTTGTCTTCTGTTGTTACAATATGACTTCCATTGGTGTTTACTACACTTGCGAGTATTTAAAATGTCTACAATCTGCTCATTGACAAGTTTCTACCAAACGTGAGAAAAAGCCTAACCATGGATGGCAACATTTACCAATACATAATGAGATAACTGTCCTCGGGATTTTTAGTACGAATTGTTACTACCTGAGGAATACAACTAACTACCTGCAGTCTTCAAGCAGTACCAAATGTGACCTGAACAATGTCCCTCAAGTTTTTAATAACTTCCAACCACCCAGCCATCAAAATTTACAATTGATGCAGAAACCGGGGAGACAATCTCATTTCTGGACGTCCGACTAACAAAGAAGACTGATGAGACCCTAAAGTGATCAATATATCGGAAGCCTAGGGAGGAACGGCCAGTTCAACTTACGTAACTCCTTTTTAACAACTGTTTGTGACAACTCATCACCTACCTTTCTTACTACACTAGTTTCTTGACCACTTTTGTAATACGTAACTCTACCCAAAACTTACTAATTTTCACCTGTTTACGTTAAAATAACCATAACCAATTGCATTTTTGTTTGACAAACTTCATGTACAAATGCATACATAATAACTCATGTATATATTTGCCATTGTATAACTAAGAAAATGAATTTGCAGCCGAAAAGAGGCTCTTCGTTGAAACTAAGTATTTTGTTTTCATAGGTATAAAAACTCCACACTACCTTATTTGGCCGGGAAACATTTTATGTGATGAGAAAAGTGTGTAAGGCATGATATTGCGGCGAAGTTCAACAACAGTGTCCCAGGAATGCGAACGCTCCAATGACCTTGAACGCATGCTAGTCATTGGCTGACGGCACCTGTCATTGTCATAGCTGAAATATCAACGCTATTCATTAATTTAGGAGCAAATTTCACCCAGATCACATTTTTAAGTACTGTTTGGACAATGTGTCAATAGCTCGTTAGGGTTAGGACCAGGGTCATATTTAGCATAAGGGTTAGGTTTATGGTTAGGATGAGGGCTAGGATTAGGGTTCATGTTAAGTTTTAGGTTAGGGTCAGGATTAAGTTTAGGGTTACAACTAGGGATAGATATAGAGTAGGTGTCACGATTTTAATTTGGTTTCTGATCCACATTTTCCTAGTAAGAAGTCGTCTATCCTCTTACTGGGAACCATAGTAATTCAACCGAGGGCTTTTGGAGAAGACTGTACACAGGATAAGAAAGATAAACGATTTACAAAAACAGCTCGTCTTTAGTCACTTCGGTGAATACATGTACAGAAACTCGTCAAACTTAGCAACTGATACTCTTCATTATAACTGGGAAGTATTTTTAAGTCATATCAGAGAAAGACACCCTGTTTAATGTGTTTTCATGTATTTTCTTGTAAAAATACATCATTTTTGCGCAAAAGTCACTTATTTTTATGACTGGTCGTCTGAAGATCACTCGTACGTTCGCATCCCTTTGGATGCCATTGTTGAACTTTGCCCATGATATTACTAATCTACTGAGAAACACTAAGTAAACAGCACTAATTTATTCTTTATTTCACTATTATTATTATATGGTAGTTAATATTTCCACTTGAATTTTAACCTTATTTTCATATTCTTATGGGAAGCCGTGACCAGTAGGATACAGCAGGTTGAAGATGAGGCAATAACTCATCGAGAAAGACATTGCGAATCGGTCGTCCTATGCCATGAACTGGCAGAATTTAGAATTCATGCGCTGGCCGTTGGATCGGGTCCCAGTGGCTCAATGGTCTACGAGCTAGCCTTGTAACCAGGAGGTCCTGGGTTTGGACCCCGGTGGGTGCGTATTGACGAAGAGTTCCAAACTAGGACGAAACATCTGTCCAGTACTCCCAGGTTTTCTAGTAGTTCTCTAATTCATGTCAGCTCATGATGAAATCCCCCCATCCATATTCTTTTCAACAACTTTATCAATGTAAATGTCTTATATCTATATAGAGAGAAAATAAGATGTAATATTGTACTAGGTGCTGAAAATTCCAAGCTGCATCAAAAGTACTGTTTGGAAAAAAGGTCATTATTATTATTATGACGTTTCAAGCAAACCCTACTATCCACATATACACGTATCAAAATGTATTTATATCACTGTCTATTTATACCGAATAAAATTATTCCATTATTATTCTTAAATCAAACTTTTTTTTCTATAGTTTGGTTTGTAAGGGTTAATTTTGTTTTTTACGAGTTGATCACAGATTGATATCAGCTAGAGAACCATTGAAAACCAGCCATAGGAAGTACTGGACAGCTGTTTCATCCTAGTTTGAGAGTCATCGGCAGTACGCACCCACCGACAGGGTTCGAAACCAGGACCTTCTGGTTACAAGGCAAGCTCGTAGACTATTGAGCCACTGGGACCCGATCCAACGGTCCTTGAATTCTAACTTCTGCCAATTCACGATATAGCGCGACCACTTCGCAATGTCTTCTTCGATGAGTTACTGCCTCATCTTCAACCTGCTGTACCCTACTGGTCACGGCTTCCTACTAGAACCCCAGGTTAACTGCCTGAATAGGGCCAGTCACTAGTGAGCATCAGATTAATTTTCAAGTATTGGTTTGTAGGGATTTTGTTTGATTGCATGGAGGATTTCATCATGAGCTGACATCAGTTAGAGAACCACTGGAAAACCTGGGAGTACTGGACAGCTGCTGTTTCATCCTAGTTCGGGAATCATCGGAAGTACACACCCACCGCCAAGATTCGAACCCAGGACCTTCCGGTTACAAGGCAAGCTCGTATACCATTACTCAGCCACTGGGACCAGATTCAATGGCCGGCCAATGAATTCTAACTTCTACCAATTCGTGATTTAGCGTGACCCCAACCATTGTCGCAGGTGGGACATCCATCCTCACATATGACATCTGGATGGACCTCACTGGTCACGACTTCTCACTAGAACTCCAGGAAACTTCATCCTGTAGCAGGTCACTAGCGAGCATCAGATTAATTTTCTATAGTTTGGTTTGTATTTTCACTACCTAATCCCATCTATTTAACTAAGCTAAAAATGTATTAAAATATTAAAACGTCAAAAACTGCTGAATATGGCTTGAAATTAGCATCAAGAATAATAATAATTTCTACTTTTACCTTATTCATTTCATACGGTAGACGTTCATGAAATATACGATTGATCAATGCACCACCGGATAATGTTTTCGTGTCGATTTCTGCACCACCTCCATCAATTGCATGATGAAAATCTTTTTCAAAACTTTGTACTGTCCTGTAAATTTTACATAACCGTAACAAAAAGCAAAATATAGACAGATATATAAATAAAATAGGCGAATAAGTTGGAACAAAAGTAAAAAATTAAGTCTGATCACGAACTGATTTCAGTTAGAGAACCACTGAAAACCATCAAGGAGTACAAACAGTCGTTTCTTCCCAATTTGGGACTCTTCAGTAACACCCACCAACGACCCCACCAGGGATCGAACTCAGGACCTACAAGTAACAAGCCAGGCTCATTGACCAAACCAGAAACTGGGACACAATCCAGTGACACATCAATCCTAACTTCTAACTAATTCACGACATATAGTACAACCGCCAGCTAAAATCATCGGTGAGTATCAGTCCTTGGTTGACCCCGCTGGTCACAACCTGCTACCAAAACTTCATGCAACTTCATTACCCTGTAGTGAGTCATTAGTAAGCACTAAACTTCTAATTGTTGGTTTGCGGGAATTTAATTGGTTACAGGTAAGATCACGGACTGATATCAGTTAGAGAACTATTGAAAACCAGAATATTCCGGAAAGTTGTTCCTTTCTAGTCTGAGACCCTTTAGTAGTGTACACACATAACAACCCCACCAGAAACCACAACCAGGACCTTCAAGCTACAGATCGCACTCGTTGACCATTCACAACCACTGGGGATGGAATCCAATGGCCTATCCACTCTAACTTCTGCCAAATCAACTGTCTGGAAATTTTTAAAATATATCATTCTGCAACCAGAAAAACATCAAACAATTAGTAGTCTAATCATGGTCAGTTGATTTCCTGAAAGTCTAGTGTTAAAACCAGTGAACTCATATGTCCACAAAAGAATGATTGTAAGCTGAACTCTTTAAGCTATAAAATGGCTAGTGAATATAAAAATCTGCTGCACTGAGCATGAGGAACAAGGTAACGATGTTCAACACTAATGTCAAACCAATCAATGCTTCCATATTGTTCAGAACTTGGAACGTCACCACAAGCGTTTCCAACAGACTGTTGCAGACGTTTATCAATGGCTGCCCCCTTAACTGGCTCGATACTGAAGATCAAATCGCCAGAAAAGACTAGCAACAAGGGATCCTTAGCAAACAGAGGACCAACCAAGATCCTAACGCCTGACAAATACGCAGAAGGGAATCGAAATGGATTGAAGATACCCTGAAGAAAGCATTGAGTGGCATCACATGACAAGC